TAGCTAGGAGGAGGAGGAGGAGGAGGAGGAGGAGGAGGAGGAGGAGGAGGAGCTCTGGGGAGGCAAAGTCAGGAAGATCCCTGGGACTTGTTGATTGCCTAGTCTAGCCAAATCAGTGAGCTCCAAGTTCCATGTGATATCATGTCCCAAACAAATAAACATGGAAATCAAAGATGAAGACACACCTAACATCAGCCTCCACATATGCATGCTCCCGCACACATGAGCATGTGCACACACTTGGGCACACACGCAGAAAGAGATGAGTGAGAACCCATGTCACTGATCACATTGTATGATGGAGATTTCCCATCATCATTGCAGGCTAAGCTACACACTAGCTGAACAAGCGTCTCCTTGCCTTGTCTATCACCTGTCTGGCTAACTTCTCTCTCTCCTCCAGCATGCCATGAATGTGATCGGCATCTTCTCAGAAGAACAGACTCTGGTGTTGCAGATTGTGGCTGGAATTCTCCACTTGGGAAACATCAGCTTCAAAGAAGTGGGCAACTATGCTGCAGTGGAGAGCGAAGAATGTACGTAGCTCTGCCCGGGCTGTGGAGTTAGGGGAGTGAGGGGTGATCTCCAATCACACATGACTTACTCCTTTGCTTGGCCTAGTTTGCTAGTAAGGTGCATTGGTAAGAAATGGGAAGTCATGTATCCTAAAGAACAAAATGGCTTCAGGGGAGACTAGATCTTCCATGTACCTCCCCTCCCCTCTCCTGTGTTATTGCTCTCCCTCCCCTTACCTTACTTATCCCCCTTCCTCTCCTCTCCCTATGTAGTTTTCTCTCCCCCTCCTCTCCCTCGTCTCTACTCTTCCCCCTCCATTCCTTTTCCTTCACACACCTCCAGGTCCTACACTGTGGATTATTTGAAAATTATTTCTATACATTACTAATCTTGGAGAAACCTAGTAGAATTTAACCTTGAACTAAACCTGGTATAATAACAAACATCTCATTTATTATCATTTTTTAGTTTGGGGCTGCACACACATGCCATCACCAGAGGACAACTTCTGGGAATCAGTTCTCTCCTTTGACCATGTGTGTTCTGGGAATGGAAATCAGGTCATCAGAACTCGCTGAGCCGTCACACTGGCTCTTCATCTAGTTTCAAAGATGAAGTCACACTTTAATGATGACTGGAGGACTGGCTTAGTGACTTAGATGAGTCACTTGGTGAAAACCTTTCCTGTGCCTGGCCTTTATGATGAATTGGTACCTGAATGTCTGACAAGCAAGTGACAGGATGCTCATGGGTTTGTGGTTTGTCCCATGGATCTGATTTAGATTAGATTTCTGGACACAGAGAAATGAACTTCGACCGTTGGGTTGACATTTCTGGTGACCATGTCTGTCTTAGCCACATCCTTGAGACCCAAATGGTCATTTTTTTATTCTTTCAGAGGAAGCTAGAGTCATTCCTACAGTAAGTTCCACTGGTCCCCTATGCCTGTAATCCACCACAAACCCTACGACCATGTGACGCCAGCCTCTCAGGCATCAGTGGTACTCCAGGCCATTCTCAGAACTCACACCCACTCTAGCCACCCAGGAAGGCATTTCTTCCCTTCTCAGCATTCTTTGGGGATAATTTTAGAGGCTTGGTAATAAATAGTATCCCACTCATTGCTGACAATGCAGTGGGGAGATTTCCATTCCAAATAAGGATCCTTTTTTATGTTTTCGTTTTCTTTTCTCATAAAAGAGGGAAGTTCTGCTAATGTCTGATGTCGATGTCTATCTTTATCTGGTAAAGACAAAATATATTTAACAAGGGAGGGTCCAGAAAACAGTGAAAATGCAGTGTGTTCATGAAGCTTAGGAATATGGCCTAATCATAATGGTAACTCTGCCTGTGGGCTCCCTGGACTTTACCCTGGATATAAAACAGATGCACCCATGTGCACAGAGGGTAATTGGCACCTAGCCATGTCACTTTAGCAGTTCTGGTATGGTGGTGGTGTCTATGGAAGGAGCCTGGAATTCTCTGGCTCCCTGAGATGTAAAACCCTCACTGTTTCCTTATACTTGAGTATCAATTCTAGACCCTGACCCAGCAAGCATGTCCCTGGGTCCTCCAACCAACAAGGAGTTCACTGCTCAGGGATGCCATCTGGGGTTAGCAGCCTTCCTTGGTACATGTGGAAAGGCTTGTGAAACTGGTAACTGCTTATGAAATCCCCTGAGGGATGGTGGGTGGTACAGTGGAGGTCAGAGAAGGCTAAGCTATGAGCCAAGTCAGTTTAGCAGAGAAGTGCACAGCCCTAGCAGTATTCCTGAGTTCTGTGTTCTTCATTTGGTTGTGTAATAACATGGTCTCCTGGGTACCTGTTTATGCCTTTGCCAATCTCTGCCTCCCCTCCCTAGTGATCCCTAGGGTTCCCAGAGACAGGAGTTGCAAAGTGTCCATATATATATATTCTTTCTTCTATTTTCAGACTATGGTGTGAGCTTCTATCACCATGTTCCACAGCTGTTTTTCTAGGTAGCATTGTATCTGGGTGATTATTCTGTATCCATTTCTTTTTTTTATAGCTGCATAGCATCCCATTGCTTGGCTATACTTTGACTCATCTGACCACCATCTGTTGCTAAGTATTAAGATGGTGTCTGGGGTATGTAGCTCAATTGCTAGCTGATATTCATAAAGCCTTGGGTTTGATCCCAGCATCACATAAACAGGGCATGATGGAGCATCCCTGTGACTCTGTCACTCAGAAAGTAAAAGCAGGGTCAATAACCTTGGTTCATCCTGTCTTTCTTATGTCTGAATATATCTTTGGAATAAATTTATCAAGAGAGGCTTTATGAAAGCTACCCAAGCTGGGTGGTGGCAGCGTATGCCTTTAATCCTAGCACTCAGGAGGCAGAGACAGGCTGATCTCTGTGAGTTGAGGTCAGTCTAGTCTACAGAGTGATTTCCAGGACAGCCAAGGCTACATAAAGAAACCCTGTCTCGAAAAACCAAATAAATAAATAAATAAATAGCTACCAGTGCATTTCATAATTAGAGACAGCAGGTTTCCTAGTAAAAAGGAGGGCTAAAATCTCTTTCAAACTGGTCCACTAAAGCACCCTAGCCATCTAGAGTGCTGATGAGGGCATAAAATTTCCTTTATGTTGCTGAGAAGCTAATCAAACCTTAACGCTGTGTACTTTTCCATATCAAGATAGTAAAATTGTGTACTTTGAGTCAAGCATTACCTGAATGTGATTAAATATTAAATTAAGAACTTTGTCAATGAAAAACAAAAATACAACTTTAAAACTACTGAGGAGTTCAAGTAAAATATGACACTGAGGCCTCACCCATTGGTAAATGGATTAGAAACCTTCACCAAAGCCTAATAAACCATATTTACTTGATCTTGGTCTTCCTCATTTAGCCCAGGCTGCCCCAATAGCCAAGGATGACACTGAACTTCTGATTTTCCAGTGTCTACCTCCCAAGTGTCAAGGTTACAGGAAAAATATGCCTTTTCATTGAGAACTCTCGCCACACACTTAGAGATGAAGAAATACTCATAGTGCTGGACAGCTGAGGCTAATGGCCAAGTAACAGTCACCCTTGAACAGGAGATCTTACTGACATATTTCGATAGGCTCATGCATTCCACAAACACTGTCATCCCTAAATCTCTTTCTGGATCAGCCCAGGTTACATTTCAAACAATTTAAAGAAACAGGACTACAGGTCTGGCCACTCAGGCAGATAGGAGATTTACATAGCTGAGGCATAGCATATTGCCAGAATTATTTTAAGTACACCTGTGTTGTTCTTTTTCAAATAGTTATTACCCATCTTGCCCACCTAGCCGAATTATGTTTTTCCCCATCAGAGAACAGTGGACTTAGTGGCAGACCAAGACTTAATGATAATCATCACCCTGTGTGGCCTATCTTGAGTAGTATGTCTTTGGGGATGGGAATGGAGCCTGTTGGCTGGTTGAAAGTCTCCTTTATCATGGGTATGGAGCCTAATGGCTGGTCAATCCTGGAGAGTAAACATTTAAACCCTAGTATTCTAAGTATCCCTTATCTCTAACAGGCCTCATTAGTAGACTACTTATCTTTGGGAGGTTTTGGAGGCAGTGCTCCTATAGCTAAGCTCCATTTGTGTGACTTAATGTCCCCTAAGCAAATATATTAGTGAATCCTGTATAACATCAATTTTATTACTTTGAGTTTCTTCTATATCACTACCATACCTGTTTTATGTGATGTTGGGGGTGGAGCCAGGGGCTTTGTGCATTCATAGGCATGCTCTGCTGACTTACATCCCCAAATCTGTCACTTCCTTAACTGTATGAAGAAGGAATTTTATTTTGAGACATCCTTCTGACTTTTCTGTCTTCCTTGTAGTTCATATTTAAGTGGGAAACTTAGGTTGAACCTCACCTTACATGTTAAATCTTCCTTCATCAACTTAACGTGTTGAAATAGTCTCCTACCAGGTTCTTCCTGGTTCCCATGACTGAATAACTCCACTGGTCTTACCCCAGCCTTTTATGATCAATCCTTGCTTCTTGTCTCTCCTTCCCCAAGCCTCAGCGCTGAAATTTTTCCCCATCCTTGGCCCCACTCACACACCCTCATGGAAATTCACAGCCTGGAGGAAATCAGGCTGAGCAGAACTATAATTTCAGCACCAGGGCAGCCACAGAAGAAAATACGAGGTCATAAAACCTTGTGTTTGAAAAACATGGCATGGATTTTGTCCAAACCAATTGCTGTACTTCCTCTCTAGTCTGCTTAGCTCTCTCCCTAAGCTGTGGCTCTGGCTCTGGCTCTTGGCCACACTCCATGCCTTGTTTCTGAAGAGCCTGCAGCCCTTCAGATCTGCCCTCTTCTGCTGGAGAGCTACATGTCCAGTCACTCCCCCTGTCTGTTTTGTCTCAGGGGGTCTCATCTCAGCCTTGTTTGGTTTTCTTAGCTAAGGCCATAAAGATAACAGCATGATCCGCTTACCAGACGACTCAATTCTTCCCCACTTTTGGCATGGGTACGGGCTTGGGGAGAATCCCATGTTTACTAAACAGACACACTGAGCTAACTATTCATTGTATAAAGCTGTTCACTGTGGAGTTCCCATAAATGATGAGAGAAGCCCTAGTGAATATGCTCCAATTTAATGGAATCTCAATAGGGAGATTTTCCAATTTTTAATGGAATCTCAATAGGGAGCCCAACATGGATTTGACCTGGAAGGCCTCCCACGTCAGCCTCATGAGTAACTGGAATTACAGGTGTGTGCTATCATGTTCAGCTATTATATTGTATGTATGTCTGTGCAGGTGCACATGTGTACATGTAGAGGCCAGAGGCCCACCTCAGGTGTTGGTCCTCAAGATCCATCTGCCTTGTTTATTGAGATAGGGTGTCTCACTAGGACCTGGGACTCCCCAGTTTTGCTAGGCTGGCTGACCAGAGAACCTCAGGCAACCCCAGCTCTGGGATTACAAATGTGTCCCACTACACCCAGCTTTTCTGTGTGGATTCTAGGGATCAAACTTGGGTCCTCACACTTGCACAGCAAGAACTTTATCACCTCAACCATCTCCCCAATCCCTTCTATAAACTGCTGGTGAAAAACCCATGGCATCTAGTGAGATGTCCTCCTTGATGCTGCTGGGGATGGCTTATTCCATCTCTGACACTTGGTGAATGTTTTCCTGATCCCTACAACTCTGTATATCCAGTGTGATTGATGAGTGTTCTCTGTCCTTACTCAGTACAAAGGAAGAGTTAGCTTCTAAGAGATAACCATTGGGGAAAGTCAATGCCTAAGAGGTAGATTTTTGTCAGAGGACCTGTGTGATATCCTCATATGGATGAGACATATACTGCTCTGGGATTGACTTTTTTTTTTCTTCAGAGACATGTTCATTGACTAACTATATTAGAAGTCAATGCTGAGAAGCATTAGTCTGTTAAATCGCAACACTCTGCAATCTAACGATCAGTCTTTTTGGGAGGCTGATGGTATCTTCCCACTGTAGGAAATTTAGGGATTTTGTTTTGTTGTTATATATTTGTTTGTTTTTGAGATGGAATCTCACTGTTTCGCCAAGGTTGGCCTTGAACTTGTAATCCTCCAGCCTCCACCTTCTCAAGTGTCAGAATGATTGACATGTGCCGCAATGGTGACACCATCCACAAGATCTCAACACATTCTTTCTATCAGCAACATTTTATACCGAGACAGAGAGTGCTATCCAAGTTCTGATTTTTCATTTGTGTCTATTCATGAGCCATGTGGCAACACACAGATGAATAGAAATGGGTTAATTTAAGTCATAAGAGCTAGTTAGAACCAGACAGTAGTGGCGCACACCTTTAATCCCAGCACACAGGAGGCAGAGGCAGGAGGATCACTGTGAGTTTAAGGACAACCTGGTCTACAAAGAAAGTTCCAGGACAGGCTCCAAAGCTACACAGAGAAACTCTGTCTCAAAAAATTAAGCAAACAAAAAAGAGCCAGTTAGAAACAAGCCTAAGCTTGTCTCCGTGTTGTTTATTGGGGAGCTGGCAGTCCTGATGAAACAAATCCATTTATGAGCTATGAAGTCCTTCATTTGTATTAGGAAATCTGAATACTCTTTCAAGAATGGTGTCATTTATCCAGATTTATGGTGTCATTTATCCATTCTGACCAGAAATCAAGGGAATCCCATTGGTCCTGATAGCTTTTTTCTTAGCAAGTCTATGGTCTGAAACAACTTGTTATACCCATGGGTGCTTTTGGTTTTCTGTTTGAAGACCCAAAGATACCACAGTACATGTTGTGAGGCAGTGTGAGCATACATGATACCAATAACATTAGTCCCCTCTGCTCACAAGCCACCTCAGGGCTCTCACCCTGTGACATGTCACTAAAAGCCTTCTGGGAGGGGAAATGGCACAGTTGGTGAAATACTCGCCATGCAAGTATGAGGACTTACTTTCAGTCCCCAGAACACATCTACAGACGTCATATTTAGTGACATGTCATCCCAGCACTGGAGACAGTGACAGTGAGCCCTGGGTGTTGCTGGTCAACCTTAATGCCAAATCAGTGAGCTCCAGCCAGGTTCATTTAGAGACCTTGTCTCAAAAACCAAGGTGAAGAGTGGCCAAGGAAGACATCTGCCATCGACCTCTGGTCTCTATGTGTACATGTGCACACCCACACAGACATAGGAATACATACGCACAGGCCTTCTGACCCCTCTGCCTTCTGCTTCCCCCAATCCGAACACCCTTCCCCAATGCATCAAAACCTATCCCAATCTTTTAATCATAGCTTCCAGCTATAGCAGACACTTATCTACGCAACACAGACCACAGCCCAGCCATGCCTCTTCTGCCCCCCCCAGCTTGTTCCCCTTAACACATCCTACTTCCCTCTCCACATCTGTACAAATCCTACCCGTTCTTGCCTGCCTAGTCCAGGCGAAGCCCCTTCCTTGATTACCCCAGAAATCATTAATAGCTTCCTGTCCTAAATATAGTCTATTCTGATGCATTCTGCTCTCCAGGTGGGTTCTTTATTTGATAAAATTTCTAGACTGTCTTCCAGGCTTACTAGCTATTTACTATCTTTTCCTCTTTGTTTTCTACTTTTTGTAATCCCTCACAGTGTAAGCGTTCAATCAGTAGGGGATTGTTGGATTTATTGGGTCCATGACAGCAGATGTTACAAGTTCTCTGTGAACGAAGCCATGAAAACATTGCACCAAAGGAAGAAAGCCTTATTCAGAGGCAAAGAAATGTTTAATGATTGAGTTCCTGTTGATGCCTTTGTCTTAAGCATGTAGAAATGTCCATTTATGGTATCTTGGTGTGAGCTCAGGTGGGGGAGGTGGGGAGGACTGGCTTGCATCTTTTTTGGACCACTGATTTGAGAGATAGGAAGTCTCGCTAATCATAGGGATTGATTTACAGAATAGAACAACTGGGAAAAACCAACAGGTATGTGCACAGCATTGATGATAATTCTGCCCCAATAGAGTGCAAGCTTTGAAAGTTAACTTTGGGGCCCATTATCTCCTCACACGCGCACAAGGGCTTCCATGTGCTTGGGAGATAATGGTTACAATTCTGAAAGACAATCATGTTTTATATTCTACAGTTTTGGCTTTTCCTGCGTATCTGCTGGGTATAAACCAAGATCGGTTAAAAGAGAAGCTAACGAGCCGGCAAATGGACAGTAAGTGGGGAGGAAAGTCGGAGTCCATCCACGTCACCCTCAATGTGGAACAGGCCTGCTACACCAGGGACGCACTCGCCAAGGCCCTGCATGCACGGATCTTTGATTTCTTGGTAGATGTAAGTAAACATGGGCAAAGCTTCAAGTTTTAGATGTAAGGAATACAATGACTAAGAGTTTGTTCTCATGTTTGCCTCATTGCTTTGCATCATTACTGTGTCCCTCTCTGCCCTGTGTATCCTCTCTCTGTTTCTGGCGAATCCTGAATCCAACAGCTGATATTCACAGCAAGACAGAGTATTTAAAACTAACACAGCAGCACGAGATACTCAGTAAAAGCCAGGACTGGAATTGAGGAAGCCTGTGGCCCAGGACCATTCTTGATTTCTGCGTATAAAGGGTTAGGGATGTTGTATCTAGTAACGATACAGTTAATTTGTGACAAGTAATTCCAAACATGCTGTGGTAAGCACATGTCTTCCCTGGCATTTCTGTGGGGACAGGTATTTAAGATCAACTTAGCTGATCAGTTCTGACTCAAGCACATTTTAGAGTTGTATACTTATGGAAAAAGAGCACTTCTCCAGGTTGGCCTGGAGCTGGGGACGTGGTGTCAAGTAGAGTCTTCATGTGCTGTTGGTGAGAGGTCTCTGTTCATAGCCGTGTGGACCTCTTCTTAGGGCAGCTCAGTGTCCTCACAATTGGCAGCTGGTTTTCCCCAGAGTCAGTGATCTAAGACAGGGTGTGCCAGCAAAAGGCCATGAGTTGTTCATGTCTTGCTCTTGAACTTAATTATTGTCACTTTGATATATTCTGTTCTAAACAAGACACCAAGAGTAGTCCACCTGGGATGGAAATTGGGCTGTACCTTTTAAAGAGGGAAATACCAAGATTTTGGATATCTATCTACTGAGAGAGGTTTTTTGTTTTGTTTTGAGATGGTATCTGTCTGTCTGTTTGTTTTTTGTTGGTGGTGGTGGTGGTGTCCTTGTTTTTGCCTTTGTTTTTCAAGACAGGCTTTCTCTGTGTATCCCTAGCTGTTCCAGAACTCAGTCAGTAGACCAGACTGGGCTTGAACTCATAGAGATCTACCTGCCTTTGCCTCCTGAATGCTGGGATTAAAGGCATGTGCCACCATGGCCAGGCTTGAGATAGTGTATTATGTAGTCCAGGCTAGCCATAAACTCAATATATAGCTGAGGATGAGCTTTAACTTTTCATCTTCCTGCCTCTACCTCCTGAGTATTGATATAAGTACATTAATAACTAGTTTATGCAGTGTTGGGGATCATGAACCCAGGCCTTCATGCACACTAGGCAAGCTCTCTTCCAACTAGGCTACAACCCCAGCTTGACTTTGAATGTACTTTTAAATTAATTCTGATACTTTCAGACATAGCATACAGCATAATCATACATACATTGATATGTGAATATACTTTTTTTTTTTTGTCGCTGTTTTTTGTTTTTCAAGACAGGGTTTCTCTGTGTAGCCCTGACTGTCCTGGAACTCACTCTGTAGACCATGCTGGTATCAGACTTGGAGATCACTTGCCTCTTCCTCCCAAGTGCTGGGATTAAAGGTGTGCTCCACTACCACCACCACCACCCAGCTACTTAAGATTTTTTAAATTTATTTTTAGTTAATTGTGTGTTTGTGTGTGTGTGTGTGTGTGTGTGTGTGTGTGTGTGTGTGTGTGTGTGCACTGAAAAGCATGCCATAGCACACATGGAGGTCAGGAGATAGCTTACCCAAGTCGGTTCTCTCCTTCCACTGTGTGTGTCACAGGGATTGAACTCAGGTCATCAGTATTGGCAGCAAGCACCTTTACCCACTGAGCCATATTGCTGACCCTGTCTCTGGTATAAAGTTGTATAATTTATATTTTCTGATGGAAAGCCAGCAGTGTAAATCTGAGTTAACCAGTGATACCTTCAATGTTAAAATAACATACAGTCTATACTCTGATCCAAATACTACTCAAATATTTCAGGGGGAAAAAGGGATATCATTTAATTTCTCCAACAATGCCAAAGCTTAGATATTGTGTTAGTTTTCTAATTAAAAGGAATAAGGAACAGAGAGGTTAGTTCAGAAACTGGCTGGAGCCTTCATAGCTCCTGTGTGGCTATTCTAGGGAGACCTAGATTCCTTCTGTTTCTACTTCTCTGTGTTCAAGCAGGAAACCCAAGGCAGATCCTAGCCAGAAACAGCAGCCATCGCATCCCAGAAGTCTGTGCCCGGATCCACCCTCAGAGCTCAGGTTGGGTGGGAGAGCTAGACAGGTCAGAGCCGTGCTCCCCACAGTAAGTTGAGGGTCAAGTGTTATTCAGACCTGTCATTTACTGAGAAGAGAGTCTCAGGCAGGAATGCTGAGGGGCAAGAGAATGCAGAAGGAGGCCTAGGACCCGCAGCTTTGTGTCAGTTCAGGGTATGTGGCCATGTGGTGATTGCCATGTAACTGACATTAATTTAACCTGACATTGACTAGGCTGTGCAGTCTGTCTTTCTGTATGCTGTGCTGTATGTCTTTACTTAGTAGCTCATGAGAGGCTACCATTTTCTTTGCCCAGGAAACACCAAAATCAGGAATGGTCTTTTTTGTTCCTTTGTTATCTGCCCCCCCACCACCACCACCACCACCGTGCTGCACCTGTCCTGCTGGTTTTGAGTCTCTTCCTTTGGATCACGTGGCCTCTTCTCTCAGTGACCTAGAGCACACACTCGAGCATTGTGTGGCTTCAGTTTAAACCTAAGCCTTGCTTCTTGTCCCGTATGATCTTGGGCACCCATCTGGAAAGTGGGAACATGGTGGTCTGACTGCCACTGTGAGCCATGATGAGCTGGTCAGGCATTCTAGATGAAACATCCAGTGACATACTCAAAAACTAAGGTACAGGGCTGAGGAGATGGATGGCTTAGTTGGTAAGAGCACTTGCTGTGAAAGCTAGAAGACCCTGAGTTCAACTCACCACTACTCATGCCTGTAGCCCCCGTATTGGGGAACAGAGACAGGAAAATCCCAGGATCTCACTAACCAGCCATTGCAGCTGAAACATTAAGCTTCAGGCTCATTGAGAGACCTTCTCTGCAAAAACTAAAGTAGACAGCAATAGAAGAGGACACCTAATGTCTCCTTCTGGTTTTCACCTGGGCACACACACTCACATACACACTACACACATACCAGTAATAATAATAATGATGATAATAATAATAATGATGATGATGATGATGATGATGATGATGATGATGATGGAGACAGCAATTGAAGAAGACACCTGACACAGATGGCTGGCCTCCACATGCTCGTACACACGTGTGCATATATATATGAATGTGCACACATACACACTTATAATATTCGATATTATTTGTATATTGTTCACCTTCTGCATATGCTCCTGGGCACAGGGACCACTTTATCTTCAGCTTCAGCGACACATTGTGTCCTGTTAGGGTTAAGTGGCTGCTGAATTGGGGACATCGGACTGGCAGTTGCACGTTTTGCAAGAGTGGAGACTCATTCATTGCAGGAGCTTACTGTGTCACCCGAGAGACAGCTTCTTCCAGGTCTCTGGACTTCTTCTTCTTTTTTTTTTCCTTCCATTTTTTGACACAGGGCTTCTCTGTATTATTTTGGAGGCTGGCCTGGAACTTGCTCTGTAGACCAGGCTGGCTTCGAACTCACAGAGATCCGCCTGCCTCTGCCTCCTGAGTGCTGGGATCAAAGGCGTGCACCACCAACACCTGGCGTCTCTGGACTTCTTAAGGAGCGCTAGCTCTGCGGTCACTGTACAAACACACCCCCTAACTACAGTTGTTGATTGAATCCTCCTGAGACCTTTTTAAAGCATACACCCCGTTTTCAAGCTGTCCTGCCTCCAGGGGTCAGTGTGGTTGCTGTGCAGGGCCCCCTGCTCCACCTCATGTCTGTTCAATAAGGACGAAAGGAGTTATTTGTGCTGTGTTTGTTTTCTCCTAGTCCATTAATAAAGCCATGGAGAAGGACCACGAGGAATACAACATTGGTGTCCTAGACATCTATGGCTTTGAAATATTTCAGGTAAGGAAGGCTGAGGAAATGGCTCACTAGGTATGAATACTGCCATGCAGGCCTGAGAATCTCAGTTCAGACTCAGCACTCAGGGAAAATTAGCTGCCCACACCTGTAATCCCGATGCATTGGGAGGAAGAAACAGGGCTCACTGGGGCTTGCTGGCCACCAGCCCAGCTCTAGGGTTAGTAGGAGACTGTCTTAAGGGAATAAGGGAGTCATCACTCCATAGCCTTCTCTCAATTCTATATTCACAGTGAGGGCTTCTGCATACACACTCATGAACACACATACACACAAGAAAAATAAAAGGAAGGAGGGAGGTGAGAAAGCAAGAAAGAAAAAGGCAGGAGGGACTGGAGACTGCTCAGTGGCTAGAAACCCTTGCTGCTCTTCAAGAGGACCTAGGCTCAGTTTCTTACACCCACAGTAGTTAGCTCACAACCAGTGTGATTCTAGCTCCAGGGGATATGATGCCCTCTCCTGGACCTCTGTGGTCATGCCTATGGGTGGCATACACATGCACTCACACACAGACACACGCATGCATGGTTATGCATACACACATGCATGCATATGAATGAAAGTAATAGGAAGGAAGGAAGGAAGGAAGGAAGGAAGGAAGGAAGGAAGGAAGGGAAAAAAAGCTGATTCTGGGTAAGGCCAGTTTGAATCATCAAAGCCTGGGGGGGAGGAGGTGATGTTACCTCTGGCCAACAGGAATAATTCTAAGCACTAAAGAAGAAGCAAGCTCCAGCTCGTCTTTGCCATTGTGAGTTCTTCATGTACCTTGACCAAATTAGTTTCTCCTAAATATAAACCATACTTCCTCTATTGACGTAGCCAGAGTTTCTGAGGCAGCTCTTTCACACAGACATTTTAGTGCATCACCAAGAAATGACTTTTAAATGATTTTGTGAAATGATTTTAGGAAACGAACTTCTTTTTTTTTTTTTTCTCTCCTTTTCCCCCAGAAAAATGGCTTTGAACAGTTCTGCATCAATTTCGTTAATGAGAAATTACAGCAGATTTTTATTGAGCTGACGTTAAAGGCAGAACAGGTAAGTGGTCCCTCTTCCTTCATGCTCTTCTCTGTCTTCTTTGCTTCGAAGATACAGATCTCCCCTTTGATGACTGAGTTGGGTTTTTATCTTGTATTAGGAAATGTACCTACTAAAGTCAGCAGTAAAGCCATATGCCTTTGCAGTATTTCAGTCTTTGGAATGCAAATACCATCTGCTGCATGTTTCTTTCTCTGTCAGCAAATGAAGCTAGGAGGCTGGACTGGCAGTGGGCTGTTTTGCTCCTCTCTGTCCCACTCACCGACCCAGGTGAAATGGGCACCCTTGATCTGACCTCCATTGTCTGGGAAACACGTGGCTTTCCCAGATGTGTAGTACTCCCAGTCTTCCCCCTACACATATTTCTAACAACACTCTCATTGGAATTCTTCCTTGAACTATGCCTTGCTTACACTCTGTTAAAAGTGCAGTGTAGGCTCTGAAATTCTTGGTGCCATGTTGTTTTAGATTTCCAGAGTGACTGTCATAAATCAAAGCAGAGAGTGTGAGATAATAGAAATTTCTTCTCTTACAGTTAGGTACCAAGAGTTTAAAATCCAGTCTTGCAGCCCCTCCAAAGGCTAGAGGGAGACTCCTGAAAGGCCTAGGCTTCTTTCTCTGCCACATCCTGGTGGCTCTTGGCCTTCTGTGCCTGTGGTGCTCAAACTCTACTCTCTACCTTACCTTCTGTTGCTCCATGCCCTAGCCTCTCTCTCTTTGGGTTTATGGCTCATCCTATGTCCAGAGTGATGTCATCATGAGGTCATTTATTAATTATTATCTACAATGATCTTATTTCTAAACCTTGACTCCTGAGGTTCTGGTTCCACATGCAATCTGGGGAGAAGCTAGACATATCAAAAGCTGTTTAGGGACCATTTAGTTATTGGAATGTTAGCTGTCCACCACTGAAGAATGGCAGCCAAAGGAGAGTGTGATAACAACTAAGATGGAAAGAAGTAGGCAGGCTCTGGCTTGTGTAGGTACTTTATGAGGCTTAGTAAGTTCAAGACCAACCTGGTGACAAGAGAAGTTTGGAATGGAGAAACTCAGAAAACAATGGTAACTGTAGAGGGGAGATCCAGTACGTATTCTATTGAATCTAACATACAGGATTTGTTTAAAATAATTAGCACTGGAGAGATGTGACAGCAGTTAAGAGCACTGGCTGCTCTTCCAGAGGTCCCGATTTCAATTCCCAGCAACCACATGGTGACTCTCAACCATCTGTAATGAGATCTGGAGCCCTCTTCTGGTGTGCAGGCAGTCATGCAGGCAGAACATCCTATACATAATAAATAAATTAAAAATAAAATGAAATAATTAGCAATTAGCTAAGAGTCACCCAGAATGACTCCTAGCTTTGTGTCCTCTTTTAAAATTTTATTTTATGTGTATGGGTGTTTTGCCAGCATGTATGTCTGTGCCCCTCATGTATGCCTGGTGACCACGGAGGCCAGAAGAGGGCATCAGATTGTTAAGAACTGGAGTTACATATGTTTTGAACTACCATATGGGTGCTCAGAATTGAACCTGAATCCTCTTCAATAGCAGCCAATGTTCTTAATCTCTGAGCCATCTCTCCAGATGCCTGGATTTGTATCTTGAAGAATCGGAGGTTGTTACAAAATTAGAAGGGTCAGGACTGCGGTGCATGTAGTAGGTATAAGAGGCCCTCTGTACATCTACCTGGAGATCTGTCTACACGAGGGACCATGTCGGACGACTGAAACCACCAATAGGAGGAGGGTTGAATAAACAAGACAGATGAAAAGAGAGACCCCCAAACTGCACATCACATACAAAGTTCTAGAAAGATGAAAGATCTGATCCTACTTTTTGCTGTGATAAAACACCAATGCCAAGACAACTTATAAAAGAAAGCATTTAATTGTTCTTATAGTCCCAAAGGTTTAGAGTCCATGATGTTAAAGCGAAGGGATGGTGGCATGAACAACTGAGAGTTTGCATCTCAAACCACAGCAGAAGGCGGAGAGCACACTGGGAATTGCAGGAGTCTTTTGAAGCCTCAAAGTCCACCACCAGTGACACACCTCCTCCAATAAAGCCACACTTCCTAATCCTTCACAAACAGTTCCACCAACACCAGTCTGTTAGGGCCATTCCTATTCAAACCACCACATGGACTCAGGAGGATCAGGAGTTCAAGGTCATCCTTGGATATATAATGAGTTCAAGGCCAGCCTGGGACACATGAGATCCTGTCTCTAATGACAACAAGTAACAGTTGTATGGTATCAGTTTTTACTGCACAAACGAAACATAAAAACCATTAAGTTATGAGATGTTCTGTTCATATCACCTCTCGTGATGGAAAAGTTCTTAGTGTATGTGAGAGGGACGCAGGTTCTCTTTCATGGTGGTTTATGCAAGCTTCCAATTTCTGTCACCCAGGAAGAATACGTTCAGGAGGGAATAAGATGGACGCCCATTGAATACTTCAATAATAAAATTGTGTGTGACCTCATAGAGAGCAAAGTTGTAAGTACTAGCCCGTGGTTCCCCTCACTGGTCTACCCTTCAATGAGATTTCATCCTCTGTGCCTGGTGTCAATTGCTTTTCAGCTGACTAGGAAACTACCCTTGTACAGAATGTCAACAGTAACACTAGTAATGTGCAAATGTGCAGCAAGAAAATAAAATAATAGGCTTTTATTACCACAATAAATAAGGATGTGTATAACATGCCAACTTGCAAATGGAAGTTGTTCCTGAATTCTAGAAACTAGCTCTTGGTTATATGACATAGCAAATGGGGGGGGCATAAAAAGGGTCACACCTTAGCCCCATCATACACAGGAACATGAGTACACACATACACCAAACAAATAAATAAAGATAAAGCTCTCTAGAGAGCTAGCTAGCTTCTTGGAAATGAGTTTCCTTCATCTTTAGGTCTGAATGATAAAACCTTCTCTGGGAATGCTCAGTGCATCCTTCCTGGAAGGAACAGCTGATGATCAAGATGGTATCTGGGTCTTGGAGGCAGTCTCCTGGCTTAAGAAGTGACCCCATAGGTGTTCAGTATTTTGAGGGGTCAGTGACCTGGGCCTTGCCTTCTTGTTCCCACCAGCACCCTCCTGGAATCATGAGCATCCTGGATGACGTGTGTGCCACCATGCATGCTGTGGGTGAAGGTGCTGACCAGACACTGCTGCAGAAGCTCCAGATGCAGATCGGGAGCCATGAGCACTTCAACAGCTGGAACCAAGGCTTCATCATTCACCACTACGCCGGGAAGGTAAAGCCCGAGACCACAGTTCAGTGGGCCAGAATCCACCCATTTTAAAGGCTCTCCAGTTTGAGCCTTTAACGGTGGGATTTGTTTTCCTATGAACCAATAGAGACCCATGTTATTTATTCGTCCAACAAACAGGACCTTTAAAGAATTTGAAGAGTTAAAACAAAGCCCTGTCTACGGGGCTGCTTGCTTTTATAAAGCACAAATCTCCGTGGTGTGGATCGCAACTGCTGAAGCAATAGACTTTTGTCTTGACAGTTGCAATCACAAACTTGCATTCCTTTGCTTTCCCACGGGCACCGGGACTAACTTTAATGTTTTCCCTACAAAGTGAGTAACTAGGTGCCTGCAGGGTACACAACCATGTAAGGTCCTAACAGAATTTGGGGTCATGGCTCTCGGATGCTTCCTGGTCCTATGGAACTCCACAGATAAGATCTTTCCTCCCGGCTAGTCTCTTGTTCACCATGGTCCCTGAGCATCGAGTCCAGGGCAGATGGGCACAGCTCTGATGCGGCTTCTAAGAACGATTCACGACTCAGTTGACATACTTGATGAGTGAGAACGAGGGCTCTCTTTTTCTTCACATGGTCAGAACTTAGGAAAAATAACTTCATGTATTTCTCAGACATGCTTAGGGGGCCCACAGACAAATGGACATGGGTTCTTGAGAGCTGTAGTCTCACAGATCATCTGGGGAGCCAGATCTTCATCACCCACCATTAGGTCAGGGTCATCGAAGCCAGCTGACAGCTTTTATGTGACAACATAAGTGTGAAACCTCAAAGGCTGCAACTAGGAACGCCCACCTTCGATGAGGATAGCCGTGCCCACTTAAGGGTGCTTTTAACCAAAGAAATGTGTAGGATAAAAGTTGATTGCTTTCTGTTCTTGGCCAGGTTTCCTATGACATGGATGGCTTCTGTGAAAGGAACCGGGACGTGCTTTTCATGGACCTGATTGAGCTCATGCAGAGCAGTGAGCTGTAAGAAAGAACCCTTTATCTGCTTTATCTGGCATGCAGTATACTTGGGTTGTGGTTATTATTGTTTTGTTTTGAAGTGTATGGGTGTTTGTCTGCTTGTATATCTGTGTACCATGTATGCCTGGTACACACAGAAGACAGAAGAGGGCCTCAGATCCCCTGGAACTGGAGTTATAGATGGTCTGTGAGCTACCACGTGGGTGCTAGGAATTGAACCCAGGTCCTCCAGAAGAGCAGCCAATGCTCTTAACCTCTCCAGCCCCATGTCATCACAAACCAGTGATGGTATTGTTTCAACGTGCAAACCAGAGTGATGTTAGAGTGCTTAGCATCGGCTCCTTTAGAACTGTTGAGTCTGGTTTATAACTTGACTATTGTTTTCTCAAAAGGGCTTCTCTTCTTTCATCTTTGTCTCTCCCTTCTGTCATTATGTTTCCTTCCCCCAAGTGCCCTCCGTATGTCTGGCTTCAACACCGTTAGAAGGGTGAAGCAGCCATATTGGTGCTGGCCTGGAATAGCTATTTCTGATCAGCAAGAATAGAACAATCTACTTCTATGATACTTTGCCCTTGGGACAAAACCAAGAGGATTTTCCATGCTGGCTCCATTTTTAAAGGTGGCTAATTACCCTGAATCACTGAAACAATTGGAGACTAAGAAGTCTAGGAGGAACTTTCCCCTACTTTTCAGGGAGGGAACCCTGTGGCTTTGTTCTTGATTCCTATTGTAATGTAAAGGGAAACTCACTTAACATCTGGAGCCCTTGATGTCCTGCAAATGTTGGAAAAGGGAGTCCTCACATTCCTTGCCATAGGAACATTCTTAGGTGGCACCACTCTTGACCTATCTACAAAAGGGACAGAGATGGCATCTACTTCAAGAGCCTGAAGAGGACCTAGGAGAAGCTATTGCTGCCAGCTCAAGCCTTTGTTGTCACTGAGAATTCTGCTGAGATCAACATCACCTCTAGGAACACTGGCCAGTGAGCTGCACTGATGTTTGGCTGCCACTGGAGCCACTCCAGTTGCTGGTTGCTTCATGCCTGGAACATTCACAAATGAGATTCAAGCAACCTTCAGAGAGCAATGGCTTCTAATGGTGGCTTAACCCAGGAATGGCCTTCAGCCCCTCACAGAGGCATCTTATGTCAACCTGGCTACCATAGCTCTGTGTAACACAGATTCTGTTCTGTGCTTTGGGGACATTACCATCCTGTGCAACAATGGGGAACTCACCTAGTGGGTCTGATGTAGATGCTGACCTGTAAGGTCTCAGTATGTGTGGCACCATCTCCCACGGGTGCCCACTGGAGGTCATGCGTAAGCTCTGCTTCTGCAGAGTCCCTGGGAAGATGGAGAAGGTGCTTTCTGAAAAGGTTTTGACCAAGGGAGAATGGACTTTGCCAGCTCCTGAGTCAGTGGTCTGAAGGCGTGGAAGTGCCCTCTGTGTCTGTCCAGCAGTTCCCTGTGGACTCCTGAGGACTGGTCTGCAGCTCCCATTGCTCAGCCACCAAATGGGCTGGAACCAGTGGCCACAAGCAAGTCTGTAAGAGCAAAATGGAAAGGTGGAAAGGTGGATGGAAACAAAGTTTCTTTCTTTTTTTGGTTTTTCGAGACAGGGTTTCTCTGTGTAGCTTTGGAGCCTATCCTGGTGCTTGCTCTGGAGAACAGGCTGGCCTCGAACTCACAGAGATCCGCCTACCTCTGCCTCCCGAGTGCTGGGATTAAAGGCGTGCGCCACCAACGCCCGGTGGAAATGAAGTTTCTAAAAAGAAGAAAAATGGAAGAAAGAAAATCAACGCTAAGAGGAGCCTCTACAGTGGAATACATGCAAACAGTCCTTTGTATTTATTTATTTGTGAGGTGGTATCTTCCAGGCTGACCCTGAAATCCTGATCCTCCTGCCTTTACCTCCCCAGTGCTGGGATTATACACTCCTGTATGTGATGCTTGGATTGACTCCGGGACTTCCTGCATGCAAGGCAAGCAGTCTACTGACTGCGCTTACATCCCCAGCCAGGAATAACTACTTTAAGGAACAGCAACAATTACAGCAGCTTTCTGATAAAATCCTAACTGCAAATGAAAGCAAAGCCGGGCTTTTTCTCCCTAGCCCCAGTGAGGAGCTATTCTTGCTTCATTTAAATGACTCCCCCAAAGCCCACCATCCTCCCCTACACTGGTGCTCCCCCACCATCCTCCCCTACAGTGGTGCTCCCCCACCATCCTCCCCTACGCTGGTGCTCCCCCACCATCCTCCCCTATGCTGGTGCTCCCCCCATCCTCCCCATGCCAGGCTCCACCACCATCGTTTGCCAGAGCTTCTTCACACTCACTTCTGAGATGTCCCATTTCCTTTCTTCTTTTTTTTTTTTTGATTTTATTTATTTATTATGTATTCAACATTCTGCTTCCATTTATATCTGCACACCAGAAGAGGGCACCAGATCTTATAACAGATGGCTGTGAGCCACCATGTGGTTGCTGGGAATTGAACTCAGGACCTCTGGAAGAGCAGTCGGTGCTCTGAACCTCTGAGCCATCTCTCCAGCCTGAGATGTCCCATTTCTTTTCATTGAAAATGCATAACCTCGATGTGCTGTCCTCTGAGAAGGTCAGGGAGGCTGCAAGTCCTGGCTTGTGGGTTTCGTGGCAAACAGATGAAGGCATCTCACTTTCAGAGATGGTTTTTAATTATTAAAACTACTGCCAAGTTCAAGAGCAATTGATGGGCCCACATAGACTCCTGTCATCTCGATACAGCATCTTGTTTTGTAATGTGATTTTCTGTAAAAGTCTGTGGTTATGTCTGGCCAGGTTAGAAGTAGATGTCTGGGGGAACTTCCTGGAAATTTCTAAAGACCAAAAGGTCACCCAGGGACGGAGAATGAGTTTGGGTTGGCATATCCAATTGTCAACTTATGTGGGCCACTTCATTCACTGAGAAGATATTTATTGAGCTATGGTTCCAACACCAGGTGCATCAAAGTAACTACCCATGGCCCCACCCTGTGCGCCTGTTGGATGTTTGGTTAGCATCATTAAGGGAACATATTCTGCAGACAAAGCCTCAGTGACTTATGATGGCAGCACTTGAAACTGTTCCTACTCAAAGGCAGTTTGTCAAGGGAGTGGGGGCCAGTGTTGCTTGCTGGCCTGTAGAAAGCAGAAACCACTTATCCAGCATTGTAGGGTGGGGGATATGGCTCAGTTGGTGCAGTGCTTGCTTAGCACACACAATCCCCTGGGTTTGTTCCCTAACCCCTCATAATACCTGGCACAGGGGCAAAGGATTGTAATCCCAGCACTTACGTAAGCATAAATACGTGGCCCACATAAGTTGACAATTGGATATGCCAACCCAAACTCATTCTCTTTAGACTGCCAGCTGCCAAATAATGACATAGAAACTTATTATTAATTATGAAAGCTCAGCCTTAGCTTAGACTTATCCCACTATCTCTTATAATTTAAAGTAACCCATATTTGTATTAATCTACATTCTACCACATGGCTCCCATTCTGTGTGCCCCACTCGTTCTGCATCTCTATGGCATCTCCTGTGCGCCTCCATTATCCACTTCTGCTCTCTGCCCAGAAGTCCCACCTACCTCTCTCTTGCGTGGCTATTGGCCACTGAGCTTTTTATTCCACCTACAGCAGCAACACCTCTTCACAGTGTACAAATATTCCACAACACACTTGGGGATCAGAGACAGTCAGACATCCTGGGCTACATGGGGAATTCAAGGTCAGCCCGGTCTACATAAAACCATGCCTCAAAAACAAGCAAACAAAGATCCTAAGATGTGTAGGATATTCTCTCTTAAGCCCCATGAAAGAATTATGCAGGTGTGACATTCAACCATGATCAGACTCAGAAATAGGTTCTTGAAAGCAGAGTGGCATGAACCTCCAAGGCTCCCAACTCACACCATCCACAGGGCTCTAGTCTAGCCAACTTGTCTTCACAAACACATCCTGTCTTCCCTCCCCCTCTGCTGTGCTGTCCCCATGATAGTCCTCAGTTCCAGAAGCCTGGATGTTCCAAACTCTTATGTGTCTTCTGTCAGCTGTTCATTTGCCCAAGTTATATCCTGCAGGCTTGTACTGTAAGTCACATGGCTTTTCTGTGGCCAGCGTTAGATGTTTCTGGACAGCACATCCAGCCCCCACAGAACTGAGAGATTGCTGATCCATCCCCTTTCTCATTTTCCAGGCCTTTTATAAAATCTTTATTTCCTGAAAACCTGCAAGCCGACAAGAAAGGCCGCCCAACAACCGCAGGAAGCAAAATTAAGGTTGGTTCTATTCTGGGAAGTGTTTGTATCCCTATAAGAGCTGGAGTTCTCTGGTAATCAAGAACTGTGCCCTAGGGCAATAAGGCCAGGTTAGTATAGGGGTATGGTCATAGAAATGCCCAGAAGTTAGGCTACTTGACAAAAAAAAAAAACAAAACACAGGATATAGCTGAATTTGACTTGGCCATCCTGATCTCCCAGTTGGAATCAAGTACCTCATAGCTTAATGGCTAGCACATAATAATCAGTTTTTTTAAAAAGAGGAAATGGCTTTAAAGGGAATCTGGAAGAATTTATATTAAACTATTAGGAATTTTGTGGTTCGGAATCATGTTCTGGATATCGATGGTGCTTTTCCAGGCCAAGCCCTCAAGGCTTGCCAAGTATGAAACTTGCCAGAAACCCCAGTTCATCTTTAGGGGCAATTTACATCCCTCCTCCTTGGGTCTTACAGGCTCCTTCTTGCTGTTAAGTGTAAACATATCTGGCCGTATGGTGGTAGCAACTCTGAAATACTGTGGGTGGTGAAGAGTTTGCATCAAGGACACTTTGTTCTGTAACTTTGACAAGTATTTGCTGAACTTTCTGAAGATAATGCCAGATCAGAATTTTTTTTTAGGGCTGAGGATGGTCATGGCTTAGTTGGTAGAGGGCTTATATAGAGTCTACAAATCCCTATCTTTTGGGTCCACCCCTATCAACCCATAAAACTAGGCAAGGCATTGCATGTCTTTAATCCCAGGCTTGGAGAGGTAGATAAAAGACCATCAGAAGTTCTAAGTCATCTCTTGGCTATATAGTAAATTCAAGGCATGTCTGGGCTTTATGAGCCCTTTCTCCAAAAAAAAAAAAAGAAAAATGTTTATCTATACATATGACTTTGTATGTGTGTGTGTGTAGTAAATTATACCAGTTAAATATGTCCCCAGTTTTTATTTAATTTTTCAAAAGATTTATTTATTTATTTATTTATTTATTTGTTATGTATACGGTGTTCTGTCTGTATGTATGCCTGCAAGCCGGAAGAGGGCATCAGATCTCATTACAGATGGTTGTGAGCCACCATGTGGTTGCTGGGAATTAAACTCAGGATCTCTGGAGAGCAGCCGGTGCTCTTAACCGCTGAGCCATCTCTCCAGCCCCTATCTCCAGTTTTATAATCAAAGAGATCACATGATTAATATTTGGCATTTGGGGTTCAGTTGCCTGTAATTTGTTTGTTTGTTTGTTTGTTTGTTTGGGTTTTTTGTTTGTTTGTTTCGAGACAGGGTTTCTTTATTGTTTTGAAGGTTGTCCTGGAACTCACTCTGTAGACCAGGCTGGCCTCGAACTCACAGAGGTCCAAGTGCTGGGATCAAGGGGCATGTGCCACCAACGCCTGTGACTTTTACTATCTAAGTTATTACCAACCTATATGATTTAAATTCTCAGCATCTGGGGCAGGAGAGATGACTCAGTGGTTAAAAGCATTAGCTACTCTTGCACAGGACCCAGGTTCAGATCCCAGCACCTACACTATAGCTCGTAACCATCCACAACTCCAGTTCCAGCGATCCGAGGCCCCACTTCTGCCTTCTGTTGGCTCCTGCACACACATGGACTCACACAGGCCCATATGCACATAAAAATGCCTAACTAATTAATTTAAAAGTTCTCAGCACCTCTTGCTTATCTGTATGGTGGAGCTTATAGCACTGACCCAAAGGTGTTGCCTTGCTGCTTAAATTCATTCATCCACCTACAGTGCCTGCATCCTACCCTGTAAAAATGCCCAGTGGCTGCTCTTACATTCTTGACTACCAGTGTGTTCTCTCTACCATGCCCAAGGCCTCGTCTCTACTTACTGCTGTGGGTGGGTTTTTTGTTGTTGTTGTTTTGGGGTTTTTTTTGTTTGTTCTTGCGCATGCTCATTCCCTGCTCTAGACGTCCACTCACCCTCCTGCCCTCTGTATTCCATTTCATGATGCCCTTCAGCCTGTGTCTTCCTGATTGACACCAGTGTCACAGACGCCATGGTTGTTACTGTACTGCCCTCTGCCCCTTCGCTTCCAACTGTTTCATGGATGAAGCCTGCCTTCCCAAGGCTTGATAACCTTCCTGGGGATAGAAACTCTGGCTTCAGTAAAGGACATGGTTCCATAAGAGGGCCTTTTAGGTTTTGTGGATGAAGTCAGACATGAGGTGGTGGTGCGGTTTTTTTTTGTTTGCTGTTGTTTTTAGAATGGAATATCTGGAATATCCGGATGGATCAACAAATAGTATTTGATTCCCAGCACCATAAACAACAACTAGACAGTTTGAGCCGCTCCCCCACTGAGTGTGGTAGCACACAGACAAGATCCCAGCACTTAGGCCGCATAAGCAGGAGGATTACAAGTTTGAGACACAGGGAGTTGGTGGGGGATGGATGGGTCTCACCAGATTTCTGATATTTGCCTTATGCTCTGGTGCTTAGGAAACTGAGGCCAGAGGACCATGAGTTCCATGCCAGTCTGGCCTTACAAAATGAGACCATCTCAAAGAAACAAAGATGAAATCTTGTTGTGTTCTTTAAACTCTTGGACTCAAGCCATCCTACTGCATCAGCCTTCTGAACAGAGGACACCACAGACATGGGCTACCGTGTCCACTAGTGCAGGCTGAGTTTTGAACTGGTAGGCAGAACCCTCTGGTTATAGGGACATCATGTCCTTAAGAGCCATTCTAAGACTTCACTGGATTTGGGTCTCTGGGACAGAGAGCTGAGGGCAGAGAACAGATGTGATTTTCCTGATGCTAACATCTGCATGAAGGTCTGACTCATGCCTTAGCCTGAAGGACCTGGATAAGAACAAGCTCTGGGCTGGAAACTTTAGTCATGAGACTGTCACGTTCAGATCCAAGGGCTCAGATCCCCCAAGGTTGCAGTGACTCATTTTCAAGTGGTCTGGAATATGCCTCATGACTGAGGGTTGGAGGCCTTTTACTTCTCTTTTGAAGGCAGTTTGCTTCCTTTCTTTCATATTTGTGTATAGTTAAAAAAAAAAGTTACCATCTTTCTGGACTGTACACAGAATGTTTAGCACAGCACATTTGGAGCCTTTGTCTATGAAGGTCAGCCTGAAGTTTGGTTATCTAAAGGGATTCTACATGTATTCTCACCCAAATCCCACATTCTCTGATGGATCCTGTGACCAAGGTCTGCCTGGCGATCCACAGTAGTGCAAGCCTATTTTATATGCCCTTCCAAAACATCTGTGAGGGATACATAGCCATGGCCCAGTCCCTTGTCCCTTTCATCTTCATACTATTTGGTAGATGCCCCAAGAGTATATTGAAAGGGAGCTCCAGGTTTCTGGATAGAAACTTTTATATTGAAGGTAGTTTTAGTGTTGTACATTTTATTGTCTTAACTATTTAAAAAAAAGACCCCATCTTCAGGATTTAATTAGAATTGTCATTTGATGGACACTCCTGTCAAGTGGCTAAAGCAAAAAATATATTGCATTTATGTAGCCAGAGGAATGTCTTAGCAGATCAGGTTGGTCCCAAGCATCCACATGGTAACATCACAGCCATCAGCAACTGCAGTCCCAGGGGAATCCAACTCCCTTATCTGGCCACCAGTGTAGGCAGAGTTTTTCTGTGTCCCAGCAGCCGCTTCCAAATAACCCCAAAGAGGCTTAATATTAATTATAAATGTTCAGCCGATAGCTTAGGCTTGTTTTTAGCTAGCTCTTATGACTTAAATTAACCCATTTCTATTAACCTACGTGTTGCCACATGACTCAGGGCTTGTTACCTCATCTTGTACACATCCTGGTCCCTCTGCATCTGGGAGGTAACTCCTCTGACTCCACCCTCCTTCTTTGAAGCATTCTTTCTGCCCTGAAAGTCCTGCCTAGCCATCTGCCAACCAGCTCTTTATTGACAACGAAAGCAATACATATTTACAGTGTACAAAGATTGTTCTGCAGCATACCAAGGGCACTTATGCAGGCATACATGCCTGCAAAACATTCAGATGCATAAAATAAAAATCAATGTTTTAAACTAAACCATGTTACATTTAATATACTGCTTGATTCTGAGGCTCCATTCAGTTATATGTTATGATTGGAAGAGGCTAGTGCTGAGGTCAGACTGAAGGTTTGATGCTAGACAGAGCAAGACTCCTAGTGAGCCAAGGTAGATACAGCAGGCTTTACCTGGGTGAACCTGGAGCTCTGAGTGGGAGAGGGCCAACTGCAGCACCATGCATTGCAGCATCTGTTCCTGCCTTTAAATAAGACACCAGAGATTTTCTAGTTTTATCCACCTGTGTGTAGGCTGCAGCTGGAGGCACTGAAGCCTAGAAATATAGATAGACTCACGGTGTGCCACCTTTCACGTAACAGAGCCAGGAGCACCACTGAGGCTAACCAGTCAGTACCCTGAACCTCTCCTCACTGTCCCATCTTGTTTTTGTATTTTGATTCCCACTCTGTTGAGTAATGCTGGTACCTTGCTATGTAACCAATGCATTCTTAGCTGGAGTTGGAATTAACCCAGTTTGCTTCATAGTCACCTCATAGGACATCGAGAGTGATGCATAACCATTGAAATTCAGGATCGGGGCAACTCATTTGTAGTCCTGTTTGTTAAAATTAATTATTCCATAACCTGGCTGGTCTATCTTTTCCAGGTTCACCCAGTTAACTCCTTCCCTGCCACACACTACACTATTCCGTATCACTCGTAGGAAGGCAAAAGAGCACTGAGGGTAAGAAACGTGGACTTGGCTTCAAGTCCACGTTGTTGCTTGCAGATTGTGTTGTCCCAAGGAATCCTTCTTCCTGAAAAGCTTGATATTCTCTTTTGAAAAAGCAAAATTAGGAACAGTCACGCCCGTGACTATTATAAAAAGGACTGTGTCAGGTGACATGTGAAGTTACTTCACTGGCCTCTGGGTACTTTCCTTAGGCTGCAGTGCAAAAGAAGTATGCTGCTACCTGCTTAGGGTTGGATAGCAGTAAATGAAAATTAATATCAAACACTGAACGTGAACAAGAAATTGAGAGACTTAAGAATGGAGAGCTGGAAAACAAAAAAGAAAGAAAGAGTGGAGAGCTGAGTGTGGTGGCACTTGCAGGCAGAGGCATGTAGATCTCTGTGATTTTTGAGGCCAACCTAGTCTACATGTAAGTTCCAAGACAGCCAGGGCTCTATACAGGGACCCTATCACACACACACACACACACACACACACACAGAGAGAGAGAGAGAGAGAGAGAGAGAGAGA